CTCCTGGAGGCAGGAAAAAGTAGAGAGCTGGCACCACAAGTCATTGCAAGGGCCCTTGGGGGGCACTGGGGTTTACCCATCCCACTGCAATCCTAATACTCCACTACATCTGATTCATATGGGACTGAGTAAAAATTTCCAATAAAAAAAAAGAATTTACTTTAAAACATTAGAAGCTACTGGACTAATCTCAGACCTCATTAATGGCTGAGGAAGGTAAGGGACTGTCCCAAGCCAACCAGCTAGTTAGCAGTGCAGTCTTTTCTCTTTGTCTATCCACGGACAACTGGGTGTGTTCTGAAGCCCTATGACCTGGACCCTACATTCTCCAGGTCCATAATCCCACTCCTTAGGTTCCAAGGACTTCAGCTTCAGGGCCAGTCTGACATTGGGAGCTTCCCCCAATACATGTACAACCACAGACTCCAATGTTTCAAAGCTCACCCTATACTCCTTACCTTCTGTAAGGGTGCAGACTTGCCATATCTTGGGCGGGCCTGAGTTGCAGACCTGGGCCCAAAGAGGTCTTTAAGATGTTACGTTGGCCCCCAGGTGGTGCCCTGCTCCACCTGAAGGCACACAGCCTCTGACATGCACCTGGGAAGCAACAGGCCAAATCCAAGGAGTCACTACCCTCCTTGGCCTGGTCTCACCACTCAGCTGGGACAGCACAGAGCCCAGGGCTCTCATCCAGGAGCCTTATCCAGGCTGCCATTCCCCTCTACCACATTTCTTGGGGCAAGAATTCTAAAACACCAAGGAAGAGTGAAATTCCCAGAAACTCCCAGAGTGCCCTGGAGAAAACACCAAAGAAAAGGAACAGGAGATGTTAAGGCCTGAGAGCTGGGGACAGGGACCAGGGAAATAGACCCCGTGTCATACCATACCACCAGCCCCACTTCAGTCCTTGGTTTACCAACTCACTGGGGTCCCAAGGATGCTCAGAGAATGATGAAACAGTTTCTTCTGCAGCCCACATCATATGGGTTATCATGCTGGAGGGAGATGAGGAAGGGAAGAGGAGCTGAGAATCAGCAGGACTGGGCAAAGCCATCTCCCAGTGGCCCTCGCTAAGTTGGTCAGTTAAGCCAGGGCTCAACATGACAGGGCTCCAAGAGTGACCAGGGCCTCCTGCCTTCCCAGGCTCCAAGGAAGAGTGACCTCCCTTGACTCACTTGTGAGCAGCTCTTCCAAGACAGTGCTGACCCAGCACCCACCTCTCCTGCCTTTTCAGGGCTCCTCATCCCCTTGTGCTTCCATTTATAGGATCCTTGCTCTGTCTCCATAGGCCACACCTGTCTTCTCACCTCATCCTTCCAGGTACCTTTTAAGATCTTTCTAGTGCTGTTCTGCTCAACTGATCCAAAGATAGTGTCACCACCCTGCTCCCACTTTACTCTTTTATCTCTTGATTTTTTCTAAAAATCTACTTCATTGAATTTAACTATCTGGGAGACTAGTAGCAGCAGGGGATGCCCAGACATATTTCCCTAGTCAAAAATCATATTTTCCAGGAAAATCTGACCTGAAGACCTTCAGTACACAAAGCAGGAAAAGTCAAGCTCAAAGGTAATGTCCTTCCCTGGACACTGATTGTCTTCTCTCCCTTATTCTACTTTCTTTCCCCTGAGTTCATCCATCACCCTCAACCCCTCCTCCTTCCAGACCAGGTGGAGTTTCAATCCAACTTCATGAGCTTTAGGTAGGAAATACTCTGTTATAATGGCAAGTGGCCCAGCAGCACCTCTATCAATCTCTATCCAGCACTTCTATCCAACACTCTTCTCCACTGAAGGAAAGACGATTCCACATCAGAATAGCCCTGGAATATGTCCAAAAAGCAATATGAATCATTGTCCTCTATGAGGTTCTGCCTCATTTATGGTGTTCACAGCACTTAAGAAATGAATATACCACCAGGTGCAGTGGTGCACACAGAATTGCAGGCACTTGGGATTCTGAGGCTGAAGGATCACAAATTCAAGGCCAGCCTCAACAACTTAGCAAGGCCCTCAACAATTTAGTGACACTCTATCTCAAAACAAAATATAGCAAGGCTTAGGATGTAGCTTTGGAGGTTAAAGCACCCCTGGGTTTAATCCCTAGTACCAGAAGGAATAAATTAATGTCAGAGTATTAAAAAGTTGCAGAATTTTTAAATTTAGTGAAAGAATGTTTGATTAGATATGTATCATGCATATGAAATATTGATTGTACATTAGGTATACAAAATGCTTAACGAATAACAATAAATTTCTAAGAACTCAGCAGTAAATTTGAATACCTTCCTCTCCCCACATGGAACCCTATCACACACAACTGGAATCCAACTGCTCTGAGTCACCCAGACCAGCCTCTCCTACTGGCTCCACTCCTGGGGCTCCTGCTCCAATTGTGTGTCTCAACACCCTCACACTCCACAGGACCAAAATCCAGTGGAATCTTCTTCTTGCCCTATCTTCTGACAAACTTCCTGCTGCCTCTCCTTCTTCCTCTTATCCTGGGGGATGAGGGAGGCAGGCCTCTCTCTGTTTTTTTCTCTCTTTCCTTCTATGCCCAAATGTTGATTCTTCTGTTTGTGACTTCACTCATTGATTCAGATGTCTTCTTTTTGTGTGCTGGGGATTGAAGGATTCAGGGCCTTGCACATGCTAAGCACACACTCTACCACTGAGTTGCACCCCCATCAGAAATATTTCAGGGCCTCAAAAATGCTTCTGTCCAACCAGGCTTGCTGGCAAACACCTGTAATCCCAGTGAATTGGGACACTGAGGCAGGTTTGAGACCAGCCTCAGCAAATTAGCGAGACCCTGATTTACACTAAAAAGTAGCAAGGACTGGGGATGTAGCTCAGTGGTAAAGTGCCCCAGGGTTCATTACCGAGTAGCAAAAAGTAAAACCCAGTCACTGCACTGAGGATGGAAAGCACCCTGCAAACAGCACGGCTAGCCTACTTTCAGTGGTGAGGGCAGCTGCAACACAAGGCCCTGAGCACCATGGGGAGTGGCCAGGATAGAGCAGAGAGAGGGTATCATGGGAACCATGTAGGCAACCCAGCTCACAGCTAATGAATTAACCCACAATTCCCTGTTATACAGCTAGGGAAATTGAGTGACCAGGGGCTAAGTAGCATACTTAAGGTCTCCCTGATGGTCAGTTCTAGATCTGGGATTTGAACTCACGTGGTTTTTGCCAGAATCTTTGCCACCAACCACCAAAGAAGTGACTCCAGGAGGAGTTGCAGTCAGGGAATGGAGTATGGTGGGAGTAAAAGTTAGAGCGTGGGGTCAGTGCCTGAAATGGGTGCTGCAGGTAATGGAAAGGAGCCCTGTCTGAAGAATCCCAGAGTGCAGACCGCATTTAGGTTCCTTGAGACTTGGGGACCCTGGACTTGGAGGGCCTCACTCTGAGCAGATGAGGAAGGGCAATGGCATATGACCTAACCTGGGGCTGGAAGAACCACAGGATGAGGGAAGGAAAAAATCTGCCAGGCAAACTCAATGGTGATAGTAGAAGCTGGAGAGAGGAGAAGACAGGCAGACCACAGGGCTGAGGAATAAGGGCCAAGCACAGGAGTCACAGGTGGGAGGGAACCACATATGGCAGTGGTGGGCTGGTGACTAAAAAAAATGGGAGATGATAAGCAGACAGGCTCCTCTGTCTGTTCAGCTGTCTTGGGGTCTTCAGCTTTCCCTCCCTCACTGATGCAGCCCACCAGTCTTCCTGAAAGAGCCTTTAGTCAACTGATTGCCATACTAAAGGAATCCCAGGGCAAAGATGCCCACTCCTATCATTCCTAGTCAAAGCTCAAAGAAAAAGCAATAAAGACCCAAGATGGGGAAGAAAGCAATGAAATTGTTCCTCTCACAGGACGTGAGGTTCATTAAGAGTGAACAATAACGAATTCTGGTGAAGAAGCACAGTGGTCCAGCACCCTGTCTCAATCCCCAGTGCTGGAAAAATAGCAACACTAAGGATTCCTGCTCTTTGGAAGATGCTATGAAGAAAATGAAATGACAAGCCATGAATTGCAAGAAAAGATTTGAAAACATAGATCTGAATCCAGTAGACAGAACTCCTGAAACCCAATAAGAAAACAACACTTTTTAAAAAAAATGGGCAAAAGATTGGAACAAAGAGTTCACCAACAATATACCCATGGTTGAGAAGACATGAAAATATGCTGAACATCATTAGTCATTAGGAAAATACAGTCTGGAGCCCTAGTGAGGTACCATTACTCATTTATTAGACAGGCTACAATTTGGAAACAAGAAAGAATAGTAACAAATGACAGTGTCAAAAGCTAGTGAGGATGTGGAGCAACTGGAATTCTCATTCATTGCTGGTAGAAAGTAGAAATGCTACAGTTGTTTTTCCTAAAAAGTCCCACATATGTTTACCTTATGACTCAGCAATGCCACCCTTAACAATTTATCCAATAGAAATGTAAACTTATTTCCGCATGTCTGTGCACCAATGGTTATTGTAGCAGTTTTATTTGTAACTGCCCAAAACTGGCTGGGCATAGTGGCCTCTGCCTATAGTTTCAGTGGCTTGGGAGGCAAAGGCAAGAGGGTGGCAAGTTGAAAGCCTCAGAAACTTAGTAACTTAGTAACTCAACAAGGCCTAAAGCAACATAGTAAGACCCTTTCTCAAAATTTTAAAAATTTTTCAAAAAGTAAACATAAGCATGCAGGGGGTCGGGGGATGGACGGGTCTGGGAATGTTGCTCAGTGGTTAAGCATATCTGGGTTCAATTGTTGGTACAAAAACAAAACAAAATAGACCAAAAAAAAAAACAACACTGTCAAAAACTAGATGCAAAGTAAAAATCCTTCAATTAGTGAATATATAAATAATCTGCAGGGAAATATAATACTACACAGAAACAAAAGAAAATAAACTACTGATATGAGCAACTACATAGATGAATCTCAAATGTGTTGTGCTCAGGGAATGAAGCCAGACTAGAAAGCCCACAACACCATTTATGCATGATTCTGGAAAAAAAAAAAAAACACCACAAGGACTCAGGGAGAAAACTTGGCAACAAGAGATGAAAGAATTTTCTGGGGTAATGAAACTGGTTAACCTTGATCTTGGTGGAGAGTACACGATGTCATTTGTCAAAATCCCTAACTGGAGACTAAAAAAGATAAATTTTACTGTTTGTAATTACCCTCAATAATTGACATTTTTACAAAATTTTACCATGGCTCCCAGGTTTCCACTACTTGAAAACTACATTCCACAATTGACGTTCTGGGTCTTTTTAATCTTGACCCCCTTGGGGTCAACATCATGCCACCTTGTGCTTGAACTAGATCCATTTCTTCATCATTCTGTTAACACCCTACTTTCAGTTTTCTGGGACTTTCTGAACAATTGTACCTCTCACAGTCAATGCCTTCCTGTCTCCTCTCCAAAAGCACACAGGACACAGAGAGTGGCATGTTCTACTCTACAGTGTGGGATTCATCAGACTCCCAGTCTTTTCCAGTCTGTTACACCACTCAGGACTGACCCCTCTTCTCAGTGTTCCTGGGTGTCTCCAGATGTTATTCTGACTGCATTTTGCTGATCAACACAAGTGCATGACATACTTACTCATCTCTACACCCATCCCTCAAATAATTGCCACCTAGCACACAGTAGGCTTTCAATACAATGCACCCAAGAGGGAGAATGGCCACCAAGCTCCAGGGTATAGAGATATCTGAGTTACATCTTCAGAGGTGGGTCTGGAAGGACTCATAAAGAAACATCAGGGCCAAGGGCAGTGGAGAAAGCACACAAAGTGCCTAATTGCAGATGTATAAGACACCTCCACACAGTCAAGGACACACACACTCAGACCACTTAACTGGTCTTCGTAGGGTCACCTGGTGGTGCCCACGGCCACTCCCTTGATGAACAACTGCAGGATGAGGGGGAGCAGGAGGGCCCCAGCAGGTACAGCCACTAGGATGCTGTGCATAGGCTAAGAAGTGAAGCCATGGAAGAGCTCTTCCCTGCCTCCGCTTTTCTACCCAACTCCTCCCTCACTCCTTCCCACCCCAGCTAGCACCACCCACACACTCTCCTTCCCTGGACTGGACAGTTAGTCCAGTACACCCAAGTGAAAACTCAGTCCACCACACTGTCCACCCATATGTCCCTTTTCAACTTTTATTATCCTATTTCTGGCCCCCCTAGATTCTTAACTCCACAGGTATCCTACACAGCCCATGTCACTGACCCCACTGGCCTTCCACATCTCCTTCACAAGTACTCCCAAGTGACTTATCTCTCTAGCCCTACCCTTGGTCTCCTATGTCCCTCCTTGGCTGTTTGCCCCTCCCTCCCCACCACAAGCAGCTCTTCTCAGGGTGGGCCCTTCCTTGGGACTGTGTGGATACATCATGGTATAGTCCAGGAATGCCATGTGCCTCCTCTGCATGATGAAAACCACACAGGTGGTCAGCACGGCACCCAGGTAGAGGCATAGGCACAGGAGGAGTAGCAGGTGGAGCCGGATGTTTCAGTGCCCCATGCAGTTATTCACCCACCTGCAATGGTGGTCGAACTCCTAGGGTAGAGGAGGCAGGACTGAGGATCTGTCTGGATCGGCCTCCATCACCTCCTAATCCTGGGGCATCCCCCAATTCAGCCCTCTAGGCACCTTCTCTTGGCCCTACACACAGGTTCCAATCTCAGGGAGAACCTGGCATTTCCATGGTTAGAGCACAGTTAGCCCCATAGCTCATTAGTTCACCTGTCCTGAGTGAGATCTTTAGAGACAAGACCTGCCTGGTTTCACTTGGAGCAGGATAGGACATCTCTGGGCCTATGTTTTCTCAGAAACTGGATAAGGATGAAAAAACACCCTTGCCCAACCAGCCATCTATACTTGTGAACCTGAGCAGGGTGTGCACATCAGAGAAAGGCACTCAGAATCCAGGAAACCCTCCAACTGGGCACCCAGACCAAGACCGACAAAGATCCCCAGGACATGGCAGCAGTCAGCCTAAAGGGCTGGGGATCTACTATCAACAAACCAGGGGAGGGGACAGTCACTGATTTTCCTTCCCCTGACTCCACAAGGCTCAGCACAGTTGTGATGCCCTTTGCATATCAACACCTGTGCAAACAAGGCCAGCCTCCCTGGACAGGTGCAGACACAGAGGTGATGACATATATAAGTGACCAACAGTGGCTGAGAGGCACTTGAAGCACTCTGAGAACATGGTTTGATACACTCAACTGACCCACTCATGATGTGAGGTTTCTGGTCCTAGCCAGGTGCCCATAGATAGGTTGGTGAGTGGACAGGGAGGAGGAGCACTCACCTCTACACAGATGTCACAGGTTTTGCATAGGAAGGTTCAGGGCAGGCTGTGAAAATAACAGGTGGGACACCACGGCATTTTGTATAACCTGCCATTCACTTGTGCCATGTAGGGAGCCTCAGGGTCCTGCTTGAAGGCGCCTGGCAGGGAAAGAGGTTAGGGCAGTGGAGGAGGCCCTTGTATCACTCTGCTGCTCAGGGCAACCCATAGTATCACTGGGCAACAAGAAGGTGGGTAGGAGGTGGGCAGGGGAATCCAAGTCCCTGTTGAGCAAACTGACCACTCAGATGAATGGGCAGACAGAGAGAAGGACTTTCCAGCCACAAGAGATCTACATGGACCTTCCCCCTTTGAAATAGTGATCAGTGCTTGGAGTCATGTGTGAAATGGGAAGGAGGAAGAGTAAAATGCATGGTTTTGGAAGAGCCTGTTGGCCTCTCGTGCCCATCTGCCCAGGCCTCTCTTCTAAAACAATTGGGAAACCTCTAGGATTCTGTTTTTTCACAATTCAGTGGCTTGGGAAATGAAGTGCCAGGGCCCAAGTAATGTTGACAGGGTAAGAAGGGATCCTGAGGCCACAGGGGGGCTCAGTCCTTTCAAAATGACCCCTGTAAGCACCAGCCCTTGGGGTGCCACCTCCTTTTCCCACAGGTCTGAGGCCTTACCTCTGTGTAAATGCCTGGGTCTGAAGTATTCATAGAAATGAGCCTGTACATAGTGGGGAGGCAGAGAAGCCCCGTGGCCATGGGAAAGCCCCACTCTCCATCTTGGGCCAGTGCTCGGCATCTGAAATCAGGGCCAGACTCAATTCTAGTCTGGGGCAACCCGGAGCTCCCGTGAGGCCCGGCTCATCTGAGATCAGACTCACACACCTTAAGGGCAGATCTGAATATCCAGGCTAGAGACAGACCCCATTCCCTCCACCAAAATTCACCAGGATTACCAGCCTCTCAATGTTCCCCCATAGGCTCCACACATCTCTGTGCTTCACACTAAAAATCCTCCTTCCCCTCCTGGCCTCCCTCCACTTCCCTGCCTCTGCACTCTATTTCCCATCTGTCTCTTGATGAGAAACCTGAGAGCTGGCATGGAGACTCACAGAAATGTGAAGAACACTAGGCTTAGAGAGACCAGGGATGCCACAGTGAAACAAGCCCAAAGGCTCGAGAAAACCCAGGATCTGGCTGGGGGTGGGGGTGGGGACAGTAAATCCTTTGATAGTCATGATCCGATGCCTGCTCTCAAACTAATGAGAGCCAACCGCTCCTTCTCCTGGTTTGGCACCCAGAGTACCATGACTACAAGTGTGACATCAGAGAGGTTCTGGAATGGGGGCTCTGGCTGCTTCCAGTGCCCTCTGAGAGCAACCCTCCCCTGCCCTCACATAAACACCTGTAGACTGGGACATCCTGCTCTTACAATGGTGGCTTTGTTGGAGCTGGTGAGGATGGGATGTGGTTTGTCCCTCAAAGGTTCTTAGGCTGGAGGCTTGGTCCTGGGTGTGGCAGTGTTGAGCTGGTAGCACCTGCAAGAGGTGGGGCCTAGAGGGAAGTAATTGTGCCACTGGGGATGAGGCCCTTGGAAGGGAGTAATGAAATTCTCATGAGCCCCCATTAGTTCCTGTGAGAGAGGCTTGTTCTAAAAAGAACAAGGCTCATCCTCCCCAGTTTCTGGCCATGAAGCCTCGACCCCTTGCATGTCCTGTCACCATGATGCCATTCACCATTTTGTGAGCACTCTCACCAAAGGTTAGCCACAGGGGCTGCCAAATGTTGGACTCTGAGCTAAATAAACCTCATCTCTTAATAAAGTACCCATTCATGGGTAACTTGTTAGAGCCAGAGAAAGCAGGCTAATACAGAGACCATATAATATGGTTCCTGGGGAGATGGCATGGGGAGAAGTTTGGTGATGGTTATCTACTCTCAGGCCCAGTGCTAATTGAACCAGGCAGTGCTGGTTGCTCAGCCTATTTCTATTCCTTTCTCTTTCTGTTAACAGAGTTCCAGTTTGGAGAAGGAGGTAGCAATCTAAACAACTAAATAATCTCCCAGTTTCCCTCATTAACAGAGTTGGCTTTATGACACAATTCTGTCTCAAAATAAAAAATAAAATATGTTGGGGATCGGACTCAATAGTTAAGAAACCCTGGGATCAATCCCTGATGATGATGATGATGATGATGATGATGATGATGATGATAACTTGTACATGATTATGGCATACAACATATCTTTAAACATATTCACTGGAGAATGGCTGAGTCAAGCTATTGAACATATTCACTCTTTCATTACTTATTTGTGATGAGAACCCTTAAAATCAACTCTCTGAGCCATTTTCAAGTGTCTATAACATTACCAACTGTAGTCATTCTGTTTTATGTTGTTAACTGTAGCCATTATATTGGATAGTAGACCCTTTAAACTCAACCCTCCCATCTAAGTGTAATTTGATCTCCTGTGACCAGCACCTTACCAGTCCACAGGCCAACCACCCCTGGGCCACTGGCAGTCATTATTCTGCTATTTCTTTTTTTTCGGATTTTTAAAATAAATTACTGTAGAATACATTACAATTATATTATACATATAGAGCACAATTTTATACCTCTGGTTGTATAGAAAGTATGTTCACACCAATTCGTGTCTTCATACATGTACTTTGGATAATAATGTCCATCACATTCGACCATCATTGCTAATCCCCTGTCTGCTCTGTTCCCGTCCCACTTATCTAGAGTTTGTCTATTCCTCCCATGCTCCCTCACCCCCACCCCACTATGAGTCAGTCACCTTATATCAGAAAAAAACATTTGGCATTTGTTTTTTGGGAATTGGCTTACTTCACTTAGTATTATCTTCTCCAACTCCATTCATTTACCTCAAATGCCAAGCTTTTATTCTCTTTTATTGCTGAGTAATATTCAATTGTGTATAAGCTGCATTGTTTTTTGTCTATTCATCTACTGAAGGGCATCTAGTTTGGTTCCACAGTTTAGTTATTGTGAATTGTACTAGGATTACAACCAGTTTATTTTCTATCCTCAGTACCAATTATTATGTATGGGCTTATTGCAGAAAGGCAATAAACATTTAGTGAATTGATTTAATAGTAATTCTAGGTTGGGAAATAAATCAAGGCTGTAGTATTGATTTTGGCTGAATCTGTTAAAGATGTAACATTTGGAAGAGGATGATTGGAACTGAATTTTTAAGGGTGGGTAGAATTGGAGAGATGTGAAAGACAGTGATATCATACTAACCTTACTCAGGGATCAGAAAATTTTTGTGTAAAAGGCCAGATCATAAATACATTCATGTGTGTGTGTATGTGTGTGTGTGTGTGTTTGTTTGTGTGTGTGTGTGTGTGTTTGTGTGTGTGTGTGTGTGCCTAGCAATTAAACTCAGTGGCACTTAACAACTAAGCCACATCCCCAGCCCTTTTTTTTTAATCTAGAGACAGGGTCTCACTGAGTTGCTCAATATCTTATTAAGTTGCTGAGGCTGGCTCTGAATTGGCAATCCTCCTGCCTCAGCCTCCCAAGCTGCTGGGATTATAGGTGTGCACCACCTTGCCAGGCATGGCTAATATTTCAGGCTTATGCATCACATGGTCTCATCACAATTACTCAACTGTGTCCTGGTAGCACAAAATCAGTCCTAGACAACAGGAAAACAGTGTGCATGGCTGTTCCCATAAAACTTTGTTTATGATCACTGAAATTTAAATTTCATTTACTTTCCATGTGTCACAAAATAGTATTCATCTTCTGAATTTTTTCAACCACTTAAAATGCAAATACTATTTTCAGCTGTGGACCATACAAAACCAGCATTTGATCTGAAAGTTATATTTATTGAGACATGATGTGAAAAACACAGAAAGAAAGAGGGAGTGAAGTGAGGTGCTGCAAAGGGCAGAAACAATGCTTGGAAAAAGAAAAAAGAAAAGGAAGAAATCAGATGACACTAGAGAGATAACTAATGAGAAATGGAACTATATAAGATTCTATAGGCCTTTTTTGTTTTTTTGAGAACTGAGCTTTACCAAAATAGTGAATCATTAAAAGGTTTTGGGTTTGAACAGAGAAATGCCCTGATTTGATTTAAAGTCTGTAGAGGATCATGAAATACAAGTTTAGCCTGGTTTTGGAATAGGAAGTAGTTAAACTTGAATGGATGGATTTATGAGTGAAAAACCTAAGGGAGATTCTCTTCTGATACAAAAATAAATTTTCTCCCCATTATGTGTGCTCTATTGATTCATGGTTTGGCTAAATCACAGGGTAGGGATCTGGGGGGCGGGGTGGGACGCCTTAAGGAGGTGGCACTTTCAGAGACTGTCCTTATAGCTCTCAACCAGAATGAATTTAATTCCCTCCACATGTGGAAAGACTTTTCTCTATTGAATTCAATGCATAACAGGAAGGCATTTGGATCCCATTTAATCCTGACTGATCAGGAACTGGCTCCAAGTCTGAATACTCATGCTGAACAAACTAGTTTTCTTTTCTGGAACCAGTTTGTGTAAATTCAGCAATGGAAGTTCTTTTTCATCACAAACTTCTCTATAGAGGCAAAGCACTAAGGTTTATATTTCTGTATTAACTCCACTTCCCTTAACAGAATGTTGGTGCAGAGATAAGGGCTGAATAAATAACCTCAGTGACTCAGTGCAATTGCCTTGTGCACCCTGCATCAAAGCATGGCTGTGAGGAGTCAGTGAGGCTTACATCTGGGTGATGCTGATTCAGTGGCCCTCCTGCTGCTGTGTTACTTGGAAGCCAGATCACCAGATTAGAAGGAAGGAGGCCTTGGCCAATGGCTATTGTGATCTCTGGTTCCCACAGTTCTGGATCTTTGTTTCTGGATCAGGCTGTGTGTTAAGTCAGTTATCTAGATGTTATCTCCCACTTTGCTCAAGAAGTATACAACTCTATCACATTAGTCCTCACTGCCAAGATGAAAAGTTGAGTATCTCCAAAGAGGTCTCCTTCCAGTGTCACTAGATTTACTCTTCCAGTCTGATCCTTCATTTGAGCCTGGTAGTCACATTTGAAATACATATGCCTAGAGAATGTCCAGGAAACAAAATGATGGCACTTTTTAATCAAAACAGAAGTGACACTATAGAGTCTCCCTGTGCAGAATAAATAAATGAAGTTCACAGAACTGCTCCTGCCTTAGGGTCAATGTTAGAGGCGTCCAACTCTCCTGGTGGGGCCGGTGGCTCCTGCTGGGTCTGAGGCCTTGGGCCAGGGCAGGCAGGCAGGCAGCTCTGGGCCTCTTCTTACAGTGCTGTGCAATCCGGATCCGTGGATGGGGCAGTCAGAGCTGAGAAACCCACAGGGTGGTAAAAGTGTTTCGTGGTTGAAGTCCTGGTGATCCCCA